ATCCTTTCCAAACACAAAAAAAAATAAAAAAACGAACAGCAGACCAAATGAAATCCCAAAAATGAGTAGCCAAGTTTATCCTTGGATATCAATTTACCGGATGGTTATGGTCTAAGGTGGCATAGGTATTCAATTACAATTCCCAAAAAAAAAAATCAAAAACATATTGATCATTGTCCAAGGGGGACTCAACGACCAAGAGGGTCTCAACACCAAGGAGATGACGTTGAATCCAACTTGGGTATCTTTACGTAAGACAAATGGACATCCTTATATGAAGAAATCAAAATTCGTTTTTTCATCGATCATTTTTTCGTTTCATTTTGTTCTCTTTATCATCGTGTGTCATTGTGGACGTTGCTCGCCGTTTTTTTTTTTTCTTGCAATTCTCCTCTTTTTTTGCTCATATTATTTTAAAGCCATATAAGGACCTCGGCACTATATTTATGCGTTCCATATGTTAATTATAATTTTTATAGGAGCTTGACTTTTTTGCTTCTCATTCCCAGTGTACCTCCCTCTATCCCTCCCTCCCTCGCAACCCTAGTGACAGTAACATGAAACATTTTTTTTTTTTTTGCAATCAGCATGTGTTGCTTTGTCCCCACAAATACATGAGGCTATTTTATTGGGCCCATGGAGTTGAGTGTACGTGTGTGTGTAGTTGAACAATTTTTATGCAAAAAATCGTCAGTAATGTAATGACAAAAAAATAAAAATTATCTATTCTTCTATGGGTTGTGTGTAATGAATATTAATGTGAGAACATCGCACAAGGCAGGCAAATGAAAATGCAATTTTTTTTGGCAAGTGAATCGTTGTGTTGTGGGTTGCCGATCATCTGAGTTCGATGGAACAATAAATAGTCTGGAATGGTTTTTAGTTTAGTATTATTTCAAATTGAGATCGATTATTTCTATGATGCTAAAATTTTCTTCAAATTTGATTCCGAGAACAGTGATAAGTTGGAAAGTCGCAGTTGGTATTCCGACAGATATTTATGAATATCATCTTGGAAGAAGTTTTTACAGTAGATGTTATGCTATTGTGTGTGATATGGTCTATCGTTAAGCTTGGAAAATAATTGTACATCTTACGAGAGTTATGCGCACAAAATTTAATTTTTTTTTCAATTACTGCAGGATAATCTTAGAAGATTATAACAAGTAAAAAAGATGAAAGTTCTGCCGGGCCGATATTTGAATACCCTCCACCATTTAGAACAAATTTTCAAAAAAATAAAATCCGTTAAAAATTCTTTTAAGATATTAAAAATACCGAATGTAGCCGTTATATTAGGGTCTATACGACGACGGGACCTGTACAGGCAACTTTTATCATAAGCCATTACAATATTCAAATGCGAAACTTGTAAAAAATCGGTGAATAATGTAGCTAAAATCACCAAAATACCGAATATAGGGAGGTACCATTATATGGGGGGTATACCATAACGTGGACCTGCACAAACAATTTTTTTATAGGCTGTAGTATCCATTACGAACTTTAAATACCAAATTTGAAACAAATCCGGTGAATAATGTCGCTAAAATCATTAAAATACCGAATATCGGGAGGTTCCATTATATGGGGGCTATACGAAGACGGGGACCTGCACAGACAATTTTCTGTCTTAGGCTGTAGTATATATTACGAATTTCAAATACCAAATTTAAAACAATTCCGGTTAATAATGTCGCCAGAATTATCAAAGTACCGAATATCGAGACGTACCGTTATATGGGAGCTGTACGAAGACGTGGACCTGCAGAGACAATCTTCTGTCATAGGCTGTAATATCCATTATGAACTTAAAATACCAAATTTGAAACAATTCCGGTGAATAATGTCGCTAAAAATTACCCAAATACCGAATATCGGAAGGTACCGTCATATGGGGGCTATACGAAGACGTGGACCTACACAGACAATCTTTTATCTTAGGCTGTAGTATCCATTCCGAACTTCAAACACCAAATTTGAAACAATTCCGATGAATAATGTCGCTAAAATCATCAAAGTACCGAATATCGGTAGGTACCGTTGTATGGTGGCTATACCCATTTTCAATACCAAAAGTCCTGAGTAAAATTGTATCAACCTATTTCATTTCGTTCGGAAGCTAGAGTGATTTCCACAGACGGAAGGACATCGCTAAATCGACATAGAATTTTATGCTGATCACGAACATATATACATTTTGGAGTCTAAAATGTATATTTCGAGGTGTTATAAATGTAATGATAAACGTAATATATCCTCCATATTATGGTGGAGGGTATAAAAATAGAGTCCAATATAGAATGTACGTGCATCGCCGTTTGGGTAATAAAACAGCTTCCTTTTCTACTACAACGCATTATTAAAGAAGGATGTCCACAAAAAGCCAAATTATTTCTTTATCAAATGTCCTTATAAGTCGCGAAAGAAAAGAAATCTCTGTTTCCATTATATATTAAGAAAATTTACCACGAAAATCAAATTTCGTAGTGAGTCTCTAAGTATACCATAACAAGTTAGAAAGTATCAGTCGGTTTTGCCGACAGATGTATGATTTCCGACAATGCCCGTTTGTTAAAATAAATTTTGACTTGCGCTATGATTATTAAAGTGTTAACCCTTTATTCGGATGGTACCGAGGAGTGGGCCAATATTTCTATTACATATCGAATATAAATACATAAGTCAGATAAATACATTACAAGTGTAAAGTAAAATGGTGAAACATGCGAGAGGTACCAGAGGTAGTTCACCGAATATTCCACTTCATGCAACAAAGTCAAACGTCATAATTTTTACATTTTTTTTAATTTGTTCGAATTGTTCACTTTTAGCACGAATTATGGCCTTCAAACGGCCAATGAAACCGTCACACGCTGCCCGAATGTAGTTTGGCCCATTCCCGGTGGTATTTTTTAGCGCCAAGCTTGCTTTCCAAAACACCCCAGACATAATAGTCCAACGGATTGGTATCCAGAGATTTTGGTGGTCATTGTGCGCTGGAAATGAAGTGAGGAACCTCATTTTGTAAACATTCTTGGGTGGCGCGTGCTGAGTCCTGTTGGAATGTCCAAGGTCTGCGGCCAAAATGTTTGCCTGTCCAAGGCTTTTATAAACCCTCCAGAATATTTTCGCGACAATATTCGGCATTTATTCTGATGCCACGGTGGATTAATACGAGCGGAAATCGACCATCGACTGTTATGGCGGCCCACTTGAGTTCTGGTGGTCAACCGAAGGTGCACATTTTCAGCTGATCTCTTTGGCAAGTAATCACGATCATTTTGTTTGTTTACAAACTGCTGGACAACGAATGTCTTCTCATCGGAGAAAACTAAAATTCGGCAATTCCGCACTTTCGGCCAAGCGAAGCAATTCTTTAGCTCTTTTTAGTCTATGTTCTTTCTGTTGCGGTGTAAGTTCTTGCACTTTTTGGAATTTCAATGGCTTTAACCTGAGCTCATTTTTCAATATTGTTCAGCTCACGAGCCATTTTTGGTCATTGCGACGCGGATTTTGATCAAGTCGCTTCTTTACTTTCCAACCATTTATGCTGATGTTGCTGTTTTCTTCCGTCCACTTCCTTGTCGTCGGGCTACGCTACCAGTATCACGGTAACGAGTGATGGTACGAGACACAAAAGATTTATTCAGATTTGAATGTGGAGTGCTCTAACGATAGTCACTTGTGGTTTCCCAGACAAATATGAAGAAATCACATTATCACGCTTAAATTCCATCACAAATAACTTTTTTTTCTGGAAAATTCTAACAAAAATGCTTTTGTACGCTTGTAAACAATATAATGAGCTGTCACTGGAATAATTTTAACAGCTGTCGGACGAGTGACTTAGAAATGACAGCACTCTGAAGTTGGTAGCAGTTTTTGCATCTCACCCTGTAGTACTATCGGTATAAATTTTCATATATATTGCACCTTCGCAAACAAATGTGGCCCTTTATTAACTTGATGAATCCTAACTCTACTCATTCACAATCTGTATATTTTTAGAGGACACCCAGAGCCATAATATTGGATTTTAAACGAATTTTATTTACTAATTCTTTTCAAATTACTTTCGGAGCCAACATTTATTTCGGAGATATTATTCAGACCTAACGTCGCGTGTTCATAATTTTATACAAGGGACTATCAGACTATGATCGTGGATTTTTTAATAATTTTTTTTAACGACTACAAAAGTGATAATTTTTATAAAGAACCATCAGAATAATAATTAATAATAATAATTTTTATGAAGAAATATTTAATTATTTTTTGTAAAGGTGTTTAATTGTGGATTTTAAATAAAGTGTTCACGGATACTATAATAGAGGCATATTTAATATTTTTTTCTGAAGGACTATTATAGCTTTTTTGGAAGATTTTTTTAATAATTTTTATGAAGGTCTACCAGAGGTATATTTAGAATTGTTTAAAATAATTTTATTGAAGGACAAACAATTTTTTGAAGGACTATAAGATCTATAATCGTGTACTTATTTCCTTTAATTTCCTTAAAATCACCGATCAAGATAGGTGCTAAACAAGCCTATTAAGACATACAATAGCAATTCCTACAGGCAAGGACATCACTTAAAAGCATGTTACGAAATATCCTCAGTTTCTCTTTAAACCATCGTTAAATTAAAAAAACCCAAAGAACAAGCAACAAATCCGACATTTATTGACAATGTCAATCACTTCAATCAGCGATTAACACCACTGTCAGTTGAATATGGAAATTGCACTTTAACTGGAAAACGTGATGACAATTACAAAAAAATTTACAACAACAAAACAAACAACAGAAAAGAAAACAAACGACAAAAAACATGGCCATCAGACTGGCAATAACAACCGTAAAACATTCTCTCGATAAAAATCTATGACCATAAAAATAAATTAAAACATATATATATATATAAATAAAGACTAATAAATAATTCGTAGTTTTATTTAAAAAAATAACAACTAAAAGAGACAGAAAAAAAACTCACCTCAATTAGATTGGGAAGAAATGTTACTTTGCGATTCTTTTTTAGACGCATTGTACTGATGGTGGTGTTGCTGGAATTGGAAGACAGTTGAGATTGTGACGTGGAATTTGTTGTATTATCACAATTTGTTGTTATGTTGTTGTTGCTGGCCTTATTAAATAAATAATTATTGGGAAAATTTAAAATATCACTAAAATTTGCTGTATCCACCAAATGATGATTGTGGAGCTGATGCGAAGAATGATGAGATTTCTCAAAGAACGCAGACGGTGATGTTGTGGGCAACATAAATTTCGTCGTGGGTGGTAATTCCGTTTTACATATACCCAATTCCATATTTATGGGAAGGCATCTGAAAGAATAGAGAATAGAGAAACAAATTTGAGGAGTTTTGCAAATTATATAAGGTGAATCAGAGCTATAAGCGATAAAAGAGTATTAAAATAACTGACTGACTGGTACTACATTTGGAACAGTTGAAGTTGGAATTTTTAAATTTTGTATTGGGACCCTGTTCGTGGTAGGTAGATGTGGTTTTGGAAATATGTACTAAAAGTACGCGAAAAGTACTAAATACCACTACATTTGGTACAATTTAGTATTGGGCCAACAAATAGAGTTTGAAACCTGAAATTTAATATTAGGTTCGCTGTTCATGGAAGTGATTTTCGAAAATGTGTACAATAATTGTACGAAAAGTTTTGAGGAGTACTAAATTTGCAAATTGGAAAAGACCTGAAATCCTGAAATTTGATATTGAGGTCTCTGCTTGTTTCTGCGATTGAGATATGGAGGTGGTTTTGCAAATGTGTACAATAGTTGTACGAAAAGTACTACATAGTACTAAATTTTGTATTTGGTGAAGAAATAGCGCTGAAATCCTGAAATTTAATATTGAGGTCTCTGTTGGTATCTGGAATTGAGACATATACAGGGTAAGATAAAAAACTGCAACAAAGTCAAATGCCATTATTTTTACATTTTTTTAAATATTTTATTGAATGAAAGAGAAAATGTCGGAAATAGCATCAAATTTTAGAATAGGTTTGGAATTGGTCGCCTTTGGCCTTCAAATGGCCAATGAGAAAGTTACACGCTGCCCGAATGTTGTTTTGCGTTATTTTGACCCATTGCCGGCGAAGTGCTCGCTTGTGGTGATCGATACTTTGGTAGTTTTTATTGCCAACCATGCTTTCCAAACTACTACAGACACAATAGTCAACGGATTGGTATCCGGAGATTTTGGTGGCAATGAAGCGCGGACCCTCATTTTGTAACCATTCTTGGTTGGCGCGTGCTGAGTGCGATGGTGCTGAGGCCTGTGGGAATGTTCAAGGTCTGCGGCCAAAATGTTTGCGTGCCCAAGTCTTTAATACATCCTCCAGAATATTTTCGCCACGGTCGATTAATATGAGCGGAGAGCGACCATAGGCTGTTATGGCGGCCCACACCATCACCATGGCCGGCGCTTGAATTCTGGTGACCAACCGAAGGTGCACATTTTCAGCTGACCTCTTTGGCAAGTAAAAACGATCATTTTGTTTGTTTACAAACTGCTGGACAACGAATGTTTTCTCATCGGAGAGAACCAAATTCGGCAGTCCAGCACTTTCGGCCAAGCGAAGCAACTCTTTAGCTCTTTTGAGTTTATTTTCTTTCTGTTGCGGTGTAAGTTCTTGCACTTTCTGGAATTTCAATGGCATTACCCCGGGCTCATTTTTTCAAGATTTGCCGAATGGAATGTTGCGATATGTTCAGCTCACGAGCCTTTTTTCGGCCATTGCGATGCGGGTTGCGATCAAGTCGCTTCTTTACTTTTCGAACCATTTCTGCTGATGTTGCTGTTTTTTCCTTCCACTTCCTTGACGTCGGGCTACGCTACCAGTATCACGGTTATGAGCGATGGTATGAGACACAAAAGCTTTATTCACATTTAAATGCAGGAGTGCTCTAACGATAGCCACTTGTGGTTTTCTAGTCAAATATAAAAAATTTACATTATCACGCTTGAATTCCAGTCATTCGTAAGACTTTTGTTCTGGAAAAATGCTTTTGTACGCTTGTAAGCAATACAATGAGCTGTCACTGGAATAATTTTAACAGCTGTCGGACGAGTGGCTTAGAAATGACAGCAGTCTGAAGTTGGTTGCAGTTTTTTTATCTCATCCTGTATTTTTATCTCATTCTGTATTTCTTGTCGTCGAAGTTCTCTTTTTTTTCAAGAATGTTTCAAGAATTGTATAAATGTTCATAGGAATCATCTTTAAGCTTTTTAGAAAGAATTTTGAAGAGAATCATCTTAAGCTTCTCCCTGAAAGAACTGCCTGTCAAGTTATCATATTTAATTATTTTTTCTCTCCTATTTTTACTTTCTAAGAATTTATTTTTTTAAAATAACTTAACTATATTCACTTGTTTCCAATTCATTAGACACGAAGACGACACAGAATGCAAACGACACATGTATTAAACCAAGTGTAGCAGGAAAACTAAAAGAAGCAATCATCAATAAATTGCTATGAGAAGACACCGATAGTGCGGCATCTTTCAAATACATTTGTTCCCAAAAGATAAAAAATTGTATGTACACATGTATGTCGGCAATAAAAAAACAACAATATAGAGAAGAGCATGTACAAATTGTTTATCCCCCGCCCTCTCGCCACCTCTCCATCACCTTTCCAGCGCTGGTTACCTTTTGAAGTTAGGCGTTCTAGTGTTTACCGAATTCCACTATTCAAATGAAACCAACTCTCCGTGGAAATGTTGGCGAAGTAGGGTGAAACAAAGGGGGAGATAAAAGAAGAGTAGGGCTTTAAGAAAACCCACAAAACTATTTACACGAAATCAATATTTACATAAATAAACATTTACGAGGAAGTGGGGAGTTACATCGAACGGAAGATGTGCCCATCTTTTCGAAAGGTAATCGCTGTTGCACCAGTACTCTACCTACCATTATGCATCAATTAGGAATGATGTTGCATTTTTTTTTTTTTTTTTTTTTGAGAAAAAAATATTTGAGCCATAAAAATTATTAAAATTTTCATTCATGATTTCAATTTAGTTCCATTTTTTTTTTTTTTTTTTTTTTTGATGTTGCTTAATTCCCAAAATCATCTCCACAATGTCTGGTACCTTCAAGACTTTTGGAATTGACTGATGTTTACTGGGAATTGATTTTTGGGAAAATGAAAAGGGGGAAAGTCCTCATAAACAAACACTTTCCATTCACAAATCAATACAAGCAAACTTGAATGAAGATGCACGAGTACTGTAGTGTGTGCAATAAATTTCCATTTTTTTTTTGTTAAAAGTAAACAAAATTAATCGCTTATTTGCAAATAATAAACAATGTTGTAAACAAAAACAAGATGGGCCATGGATCAAGCGCCAAAGACGAGAGTGTTAATTGCAGTAAACATGAAAATGTGAGTTGGAAAAAAAAAATATTGAAAAAAACACAAACCAGGAGGATGTAATATTTTTATTTGAAAGAAATGGACATTTAAAAAAAATCCTTAGTGAAGATCCTCGGAGATATCGTATATTTTTATTATAATTATACCCTACACCACAAGGTGGTCAGGGTATCATGTCTTTGTGCATTTGTTTGTAACAGGCAAAAGGAAACGAGATAGACCCATAGTTCCTTTTGATGATCTGCATAGAATCACATTCTGAGTCGATTTATGCATGTCCGTCCGTCCGTCTGTCCGTCCGTCCGTCTGTCCATGTATTTTTGTAAACAAAGTACAGGTCGCATTTATTGCCCGATCCAGATGAAATTTTTCACAGATCATTTGTTCGGCCCAAGGACGAACCCTATTGAAATTGGAGATAATCGGTCAAAATTTAGATATAGCTCCCATATATATCTTCGTCCGATTTGCTTTTATTGTGCACCAAACGTGTAATATCAGTCCGAATAGTATGGAATTTTGCACAAATCAATTGTTTGGCCCAAGGACGAACCCTATTGAAATTGGAGATAATCGGTCAAAATTTAGATATAGCTCCCATATATATCTTCGTCCGATTTGCCTTTTATTGTGCACCAAACGTGTAATATCAGACCGAATAGTATGGAATTTCGCGTGTACGATCAGATTGGACCTCAAAATAAGTATGCCAAATTTCATCGAAATCGGTTCAGATATAGCTATAGCTCCCATATATATTGTTTATCCGATTTGTTATTTTTGTCCTCCGCAGCCGTAATATGCACTCTGTAACAACAATATTTGGTGAAATTTATCAAATACTGCTCAGAAATACATTTGCTAAATTTTATCGAGATCGGTTCAGATTTGGATATAGCTCCCACATATAACTTCGTCCGATTTATATTGGATTGTGCACCAAACGTCTAATATTTGCCCAAATTGGATGAAATTTGGCACATACGACCGAATTGAGTCTAGAAGCTAGTTTGTCAAATTTAGTGAAGATCGGTTCAGATATAGCTATAGCTCCCATATATACTGTTTATCCGATTTGTCATATTTGTTACCCACAGCCATAATATGCACTCCGTAACAACGATATTCAGGGAAATATATCAAATAGAGCTCAGAAATATCTTTGCCAAATTTTATCGAGATCGGTTTCGATTTGGATATAGCTCCCATATATATTTTTATCCGATTTCAGATTAATTGTGCACCAAATGGACAATACAACTCAGAATTTAAAAGATACAAATGCTTCGGCATATTTAGTTCTTTGAACTTTAAATTATAATAATAATCATAGCTTGTATGATTGAATTCTCCCATAAAAACTTTTAATTGTTATGCGCAGCTCAACTAAATTAGCAAAGTGGTGTAGGGTATCATAACGTCGGCCCCGCCCGACTTTAAGACTTTCTTTACTGGTTTTTCATTAGTTTTCTTACGGGGATTTTTTAACCCTTCTTAAAAAGAATAACCAAAGCTTTAATTAGGATTTTTTTAACATTCTTTATGAAAAAGTAACAGAGCTGTATATATTTCAAAATTTTCTACGAAGAATTTCTATCAAAGCCATGATCAAGGTTAATTTTTTTTTAATTTTTGTAAAGGACAGAGCTATAATTAGGGATTTTTAAATACTTTTTTAAATGAAGTACCATCAGAGTTTTAATAATTTGCTATCATATATATTTTATGATAGATTTTAGAAATCAGGTTTTTAATAGTAAATCGGAGCTATAGCCGTGAAGTTTTTGAAATCATGTACCAAAGACTATCATAGATTTAATCAAGGAATTTTCTATAAAGGACTATGGGAGACGTGAGCGTGATATTTGCGATTTTTTTATGAGAACAATTCGAGCTAAAATCGTGGATTTTTAAAATTTCTTTAAGGAAT